TCTCCTGTTAAAACTTTTTTTTTTTTTTTGAGAAAGGTTGTCACTCTGTTGCCCAGGCTGGAGTGCAGTGGCATGATCTTGGCTCACTGCAACCTCCGCCTCCCAAGTTCAAGTGATTATCCTGCCTCAGCCTCCCCAGTAACTGGGATTACAGGCATGCACCTCCACACCCAGCTATTTTTGTATTTTTCATAGACGTGGGGTTTCACCATGTTGGCCAGTCTGCTCTCAAACCCCTGACCTCAAGTGATCTGCCTGCATTGGCCTCCCAAAGTGCTGGGATTATAGGCATGAGCCACCTTGCCCACCTCTGTTAAACAAATATTGACATCTGTTCAGAATGTTTTGTTCCTAGGATTTGTTTTGTTTAATCATAGGTCTGACAGATCATTTCCTATTGGTACATAAGTAGTTTCATTCTTTCCAGAGTGGCAGAGGGTCCCTTGTTTATCCAGACCCCTGTGAATACATATGTGGATTTCTTCCAATCCTTTGTTATTACCTGCAAAGCCTGCAATGAATAACGTTGTACCTTTCATTTCAAATATTGCACATGTGTGTGCGTTCGAATAAATTCCTAGGAGTCATATTTATTGGTCAAGGAGTATGTGTGTTTTAAATTATGATAGGTATTAGGTATGTCAATATATCAAAAAACCATACTTCATCGCAAGGCACAGTAAATGGGGGAACAGAGAAACTTTCTACATTTGATATTTATAAAAGGAATAACCTGTCAAGAACACGTGACAGCACTTAACCTTAAAGCACCTTACAACAATCACCACGAATACAAAATAATTCACAAAGAACGTTAAAAAGTACCGTACAACAATCACCACAAATACAAAATAATTCACAAAGAACGTAAAAAAGCACCATACGACAATCACCACAAATACAAAATAATTCAAAACTTAAGAAAGCACCTTACAACAATAACCACAAATACAAAATAATTCAAAAAGACCTTTAAAAAGCACCTTACAACAAAATATTGGAAAAAGCAAAAACTGTTACTTATAAAATAAGAAATAGACAAATCTGTGATTATATAAAGAAATTTTAATACTAGCATCTAACAGAAATTGACAAAATACACAGATTTGAGTATCAATTAACAAGCTTGAGTAAACACAGAATAATGAGATAGAACACACAGTAGGGGTGATCAACCTCAGAAGCATATTCTTTTGAAAAGACCAATAAAATAGAGAAATCTTTGTTAATTGCTCAAGGAAAACAGAAAGAGAGAAGGTCATTACACTAATGGAGAGACTCTTACACTTGTAAGAACATACTAAGTCCACTTGCACACCAATGGATTTGAAAACATACAAGAAGTAGAAATATCCAAGCAAGCACAAGTTAGCAGCATTGTTCCAAGAAGAGAAAAGCCTAAGTAGGAATAATAATTATAGAAAAATGGAAAAAGCATTTGGAGATCTACCCATTTTCATACCATTTATCTCCCAGAAAAGAGGCACTAGGCCAGGGAGGTTTCCAGGTAAGTGTTACCAAATTTTCAAGGAAGATCTAGTTTCTATGTTAAACTCATTCTATAGAAAAAGCTGGAAATGTCCCCCTGCCATTCTGTGATGCTAGCATATCCAGGAGACTCGTGGTAGATGAAGGTACCCACAGAAGAAATGCTAACACTCTTACCATCGCCGACATAAACAGGCCTCATAAAACATCAGTGGCACAAATTGAGCAGTGATTAAAACAATGAGCCTGTCACGATGCCTTCATGAAACATAAGGAAGTATACTCTCATATGATGACATGCTTACACATTTATGAATCATTTGTATGATAAAATAAATAGGAATTTACATCTTTAATATGACATAAGGAATTATAAGGAATATTATGCAGTTAAAGAAGAACTAAAATATAATTATTGATACACTAAAATCCAAGATTCGTTCCTTATTTTTAAAAATAATGAACAACAGCCTGTAATCCCAGCACTTTGGGAGGCCGAGGTGGGAGGATCACGAGGTCAGGAGATCGAGACCATCCTGGCTAATAAGGTGAAACCCCATCTCTACTAAAAATACAAAAATTAGCTGGATGTGGTGGCGGGTGCCTGTAGTCCCAGCTACTCGGGAGGCTGAGGCGGAAGAATGGCGTGAACCCAGGAGGCAGAGCTTGCAGTGAGCCGAGATCGCACCACTGCACCCCAGTCTGGGTGACAGAGCGAGACTCTGTCTCAAAAAGCCAAAAAAACAAAACACAAAACAATAAACAAGAGTAAAAGGAAACCTATTTAACTTGATATCTAAGAGTATGTACCGGAAATCCTTTATCAAGCATCATACTAATGGTAAAATGTTTTAATTGTTAATATTTTAAATGTATTTAAAAATAGAGACAGGGTTTCTCCATGTTGGCCAGGCTGGTCTCGAACTTCTAGCTCCAAATGATCCACCCACTTCGGCCTCCCAAAGGGCTGGGATTACAAGCGTGAGCACTATGCCTGGCCTTAACAGTGAAATCTTAAAAACAGGAACAAGGTAACAGATATTGCTGTCAACATTCCACATCTGAGGTGCAGCCTTGGGAAGATAAGACTAACACTGTCCCTATTTGCACGTCAGATAATTATCTATGTACGAAAATAAACTGAAAAGGCATAAAAGCTCCCAATAGCTTAATAATTTTATAAGGATGAAAGACATCGTAAGGAATTTTTTAAAAAAGTGACACACTGGGAGAAAGTATTTGCTGTGTATGTTAGATACTCCACATCCATAATATGTAAATAGCTTCTGCAAATCAATAAGAAAAAGATGACTCATTTGAGAGAAAATTTGGCAAAGAGGTAATTTGCAAAAAAAAAAAAAAAAAGGACATACAAATGGCCAATAAACAGGTCTACTTATACTAAAAACTAAAAAATGATAATATGAATGAATTTAAACTTTTACTCTTCAAAGTGGTACAAGTTTAAGGAGTAGTGACATGCAGCCAAGAGGATGCTACAGGGATATGGGTACTTTTGGATTAGCTGGGTCTTCTTGGAAAGTGGGCTTTCCATGTGCTTCTGATCCAGAGAAGTGGCGGTGTTTGTCTTTGATCAAGCTGCTGACACTGCCGTGCTGACATCCGGCGAAGTGAAGGTCTGAGTACAGAGAAGGTGGCTACTCTTAAGACTTCGACCGCAGTAGTGGCAAAAAGCCAGCAAATCAGATGGATGATGACCTTCACTTACAGCAGCTGGTCCTCCCATGGTGCTGCTGGATGGTGGCCAAGTTCATCCCTGGTCACGGCTGTGCTGGCTGTGACATCTCCAGAGGTGGCAATCATGGCAGAATCTTTCACTAGTGCAAGATGCACAAAGAATCAGAACAAAAACTGCAACTATGTTCTTTAGCAACACCTGAAAGTCTGAGACCAGGTTTTTTGCCTGCACTTTCACCAGCTGAAATTAATTCTTGGAACAATATCTTCTGCTTGTTCTAAACTCACGCAAGAGGGTGGCATCACACCTTTTCTGCACCATGCTTTATATTGATTTGATTGTTTTGTTTACTGTCTGCCTCCTTCCCTTTTGAAAGCAAGCTCCATGAGGACAGGGAAGTTTGTCTCTATTCCCGGTGTTAGCCTTAGTAAGTGTTTGTTGAATGAATGTTTGTGAACAAATCCCCAGCATCTAGTGTTCTGTATGATCCCAGACTAGTCCCAGGCACAGGAGACTTCTCCGCTGTGCTGATCTGGGTTGCAGTTTGGAAGGAAGGAGGTGGGACCAGCGCTCTGGCCATCCATGCGGGAGGTGCGTGGGGGTCTTTGATTTGCCTCCCTCCCTCAGTGGTCAGGGAAGGGCTTTTGGACCAATCCGCCGGGGACACCTGCGTAACCAGAGTAGCGAACTCTGATTCAGGCAATGCTTGTTCACCGTCTTCTACCTGAACCACAGGTCCCGTCTTGGAGCCCCCTTTTTTCTTAGCCAACATTTGCCAAGGGCTTAGTGTCTCAATTCAACATGGAAACATGCTCCCTGGTGGTATCATGACCTGGCTCGTCTTCCGTGAAGAAGCTGAGGTGCAGGCAGAGGGGCTTGCTGGGGGATGGAGCTGGAGTTTCTTGCCTCACAAGGACAGCATCTGGAGTGGCCATCACTCTCCTTGGATGGCACTGTGGCTTTCCCAGCGGCTTTCCGGCTCATCCTTTAATGTTCACACAAGATCTGTGAGGCGCTTCGGGAAAGGAGTTTTCATCTACCCCAAGAAATTAGGGTCACTTAAAAAGATTTGCATTTAGGGGCAGCCCAGTGGGAAACCCAGGTTTCCTGATTTGGAGTCCACATTTTTCTACCAAAACGTGGTGAAGCAATTTTTTAAAGATGAGGACATTCCAAGCAAGCTCAGGCTCCTTGCTGTGGCCAAGAAGCCCCCACCCCGACCCCAGCGCCAGCGATGGCCCTGCCCACACGACTGGCCCCGCCCACTCTTCTGGTGCCACGCCCCCAGGCCGGTCACAGGAGGGGTCCTTCTGACTCCAAACCAGGGACTTTGCACATGCTGTTCCTGTGCGTGGAAGGATCTCATCCCCTCGCTCCACCCCTTGCATCCCCAAAATCACTTCGCCAAGCCTCCAGTCGCTCAGGTCTCAGTTTCAGTTTCCCTTCCCCCAGGGGCCATTGCTTAACCCGTCCACACTGAGCTCCTCAGGTTCTTTCCATTTGGCAACTTGTTGGTTTCATTCATGGAACTTACCGCAACTTGCAGTCCAAAGTCCCTGTTTGTGATGACCTTCTAAGGCATCTGTCCTGTTAATGGAACACCAGCTCCATGAGCACGTTCTGTCCACGGAGGCTTCCGGGTGCCTTGTGCCTGGTGAGGTCGGCACGAGGTGTTCAGGAAATACTTACTACACAGTAAAGAAGAGGGTCCCTGAGGGCTCCCACATGGATGTGATGAACGCTGTGCTATTGCTGACGGTTTCTACGGGAGTGAACGAAGGCGGCCGAACGCAGAAGTAAAAAGACAAGAGGATCTGTTTTAAAAGAAGGGGTCGGGGGCTCCTCGCTTCTAGTGAGCAAAGGCAGCTCTGAGCTTCCACAGCCCTTCGTATTTATTAGGGACAAAGAGCAGGGAGGGAGAGGTAATGGTTGGTCAGCTGCTTAATTAATCACAGGTGCACATAATAGCGTTCTTCATACAACAGGCGTCAGATGTTTCTATAGGTAATCAGAAGGAACAGGGCCTGACTGCCCTCAGCCCTCCCTCTGGGGGCAGATGCAGTTGTCAGTTTTCCAACATCCTGCTTTCATGAGAACATTTTTCCATTCACTGATAGAGCCTCCAGTGGTATACTGAGTTGGTCATGACCCCCATTTTCTTGGCCTGTAACACTCTGTAGGCTGGGGTTAGCTGCTGGGCTGGGCTGGACTGGGAGCCTGGCCAGGCTGGTTGTGATGCTGGCTGGTGGCAAGGAAGGAGGAAGTGTTCGTGCGCCCAGCAGATGTATTTATGTGGCCCCTGCTGTGCGTCAGGCACTCTGGGGTGCAATGCTGAATCCATCTTACCTGGTGAATACAACGTCTCCAAGAGGACAGCGTTAGATGGCGCTCAGTGCTCTGAGGGACAGAGCCTTGTCCTAAGGGATCCACAGCACCTAAGGGAGCTGACGAAGCTGAGGCGCTGCCTGGGGAGGGAGGGTAGAGAGTAGAGGAGCAAGGCTGAGTGCTAGGGAGGAGGAAGGAGGGGGTGGAAGAGAAGATACGGGTCTGCCTGAGGGCTGAGGCCAGGTCTGAGGGAGAGGGAGGGCTGGGTAGCAAGCAGGGGCGAAACACCACTACCCACGCCCTAGCTCCACTCCGCTGAGTCTACACTAGGACACTCACCCACTCTAACCCTGCACACCTGTGGATGTCTTAGAGGCACTTTTCATGCTGTTCACATGTGAGGAACCTGGGATTCAGGATGGGCCCCGTGTACTGCAGCCACCTCAGCCAGCTCAGCGGCAGAGCTGGAGTGAGCTGCGTGTAAATACCTCCAAAGTCACCACACGCTGATCCGGGACATCATATTCTGTCTTCACCACCCAAAGCAAGGTTTGGCCAAACAAGCTTCTCTAGAGTGAACTTTCTGGATTTCCTACGAGTTGTAAAAAGTAAAAAAATAAAACCTCACTAGCACTGTCTGAAATCATTCCTTTTTACATTCTGCTTAAAATCCACATTTTTAAGCAATTCCAAATTGAACTGGCTTGATTGCATCCCCTTTCAGGATGCTCCTAAGTGGGTGACGAGTGGTTGCCTTCCCTGTGAATTTCAGGGATGGATGGCTTTTCTCCCATGCCCTTTGGGGACTGGCCAGTACTTGGGCACGGTGTCTGGTGTGAGCTGGGACAGCAGGCGAAGGTGGCCACCTCTCAGGAAAGGAAAGGGGAAGATGACTCACTTTGAAGCTGGCCTGGGGTGGGCCTGCCCTTTTCATTGCCTGCTGGCTCATTGTTTCGGTTTCCTGGGGCTGCAATCACAAAGCAGCAGAAATTAGAGGCTTACACAACCGAGATGGATTGTTTCTCTGTTCCGGAGGTGGGAAGTCCAAAGTAAAGGTGTGGGCAGGGCTGGTCCTCTCTGAGGGCTGGGTGGGGAGGAACAGTTCCAGGCCTCTCTCCTTGGCTTGTCCATGGCTGTGTCCATGGTCACACTGTGTTCTCCTTGTGTGTGTGTGTCTCTGTCGCCACATTTCCCTTTTTCTGTAGGGACACCAGTCACATGGGCTGATGCCTCACCCTAACAACTCGATTTAATTTGGTAAAGACCCTCCCTCCACATGAGCTCCCATTCTGAGGTACTCGGGGTTAGGACTTTAGCACATGCACTTCAAGAGGGACACAGTTCAGCCTACTGCACACATCCTGGGGCCAGGTGCAGGCAGCACACAGTGTCAGATGGAGGATGGACCTGGCCATCCTGAGCAGCTGGGCGGGGCGCTGTGGAGAGCCCAAAGGCCAGGCTGATGGCCTCTGGTCCAGGACAACTGCATGGGGCTGACGGGGATTTGTGATGCTGACTGTTGTGATGCTTTATTCACAGGAGGCTGGGTGACGGTAGTGAGGGGAAAAGACAAGGTTAGCTATGAGCCCAGCACCTCAAGAAGGAACTGACCCAGGGATTTTTTTTTTTTTCATCATCTCGAAGAAGAAATTGCTTATCATGATGTAGCAGGACGAGCCACAGACAAAGCTCCTCAGACACCGGATTAAAGAAGGAAGAGGTTTTTTATTTGGCCGGGAGCTTCAGCAGACTCGTGTCTTAAGAGCCGAGCTCCCCGAAGAAGAAATTCTTGGCCTTTTTAAAGGCTTACAACTTTAAGGGGTCCATGTGAAAGGCTCGTGATAAATCGAACAAGCGAGGGAAATGTGACTGGGGGGCTATATGCATCAGCTAACAGAACAAGAAGTTTTACAATGCTTTTTTTCATACAGTGTCTGGAATTTACATATAACACAAGTAGTTTAGGTCAGGGGTTGATGTTATTATTATTACTTTTTTTTAACTCCTAGGGCCGGGTGGTGGTGCCGAGGTTGTCTGGCTATTTATCTTACTTTTCTTTCTCTCTTTTTGCTTTCTCTTTTTCTTCCTGTCTTGTGAACTAAGCAAGGTAGGGGGAGGAGGGCAGCAGGAGTAGCAGTGGTCTCCTTCCTTAATGAGGGCCAGGTGCTGGGCTACCTTGTCTCTTGACCTTCCAGATCCTCACTGCGACCTGGAAATAGAGCCACTCACTGTTGCCATACCCTTGGCTTTCCCATCATCAAGGTGGGCAGAGTGGTTTGGCCTAAAGTTTTGATACTTAGGACAAAATTAAAGCCCCAGCTCATCTTCTTATCTTCCCCTTCCAGGGAGAACACGGAGAGGATTGGACCTGGAGAGAAGAAGCCGACCAAGCATGTTCCAGGGGTACTGGCCATAGCACCCCAGGGCTCACCAACAAAGGGGAACTGCAGGGTAACAGCTTCGTGGAGAAACTTCCTCCCTCTTCCTTTTTCCCCTCCTTCTCTCCCTGGGTCCTTCCCTCCAGTCTACCACTGCTCTCTTTTGCAGCACACAATCTGGATACTGGCAACATCCTTAAAATAAGGGCTTGCCCTGGAGTGGCTCCCTGGGTAATCAAACTAATTCTCAAATCAATGTCATGTATCATGTGCATACTATACCACATATGACATGTGTGATGTATATGTATATGTGTTAGGTAACATCCAAGATATCATGGAAAGACAAGTCCCTCACTCCCTGCTCAAATTTTTAGCTGCGATGTGACCTCAGGAGTGGGGACTGTGCGGCGGGTTCGAATTCCTCAGGGGAGAGATTGCCTTGTACTTTTATTAGGGGGTAGAATTTAAAAGCATATGTATTTAGCATTATGAATATAAATTCTAGCATTATGAATATAAATTCTAGTTCTATGAATATAAATTCTACGTTTGGAAGAGGAAATTACAAACTTAGAAAAAATAACAAACTGCAGAAAATTAAACAACAGATTTTTTGTCTTGTGGAGCATAGAAAACCCACCTCCAGCGGTGACGGCACCCCTTACCCTCATTTACCCCCATCCAGAGTCTATGGGGGAGGTCAGCGTGGGGAAAGAGATGCTCAGCTTTGTCCAAAGCGGTTTCCAAAGGTCCCAGAACCCCGGGCTGTAGACGCAGAAGGCGGGGGCGGCGTCCACACTCGAGCACCGCAGCCCATTGGCTCTCAGGGCCCCACCAGGCGGGACCCTTCCCTCTCCTCTGCCACCTAGAAGGGACGGAGCACCTGACGCGCGAATCGGGGGCAAACGTCGCAAGTTTCTGTGACGTGAGGTCTTTGCAAGCTGCCGGGGCTTTCTACCCACAGGGACACGCGGCCTGCGCCCTCCTAGGCGTGCAAGTAGGGCAGGGACCTGGCGCCCTTCGAAGCCCGGGTGGCCCGGAGCTGGCAGCGCGCAGGGGGAGGAGCCGCAGAAAGGGGCCCACGCCGCAAAGGCGCTGTTGTCGAGGACCCCGCGGGGTTCCAGGGCTGGAGCTGGCGAGCCCCAGCCGCGCCGCCCCATCTCTAACGCGCACCCCGGCCGCTCCGCCCCCTCTGCCGCTCACTCCGGCCAGCCCGGCCCCCGCGGCCCCGCGGCCCCGCGGCCCCGCGTTCCCCGCTTCCCGCGGCACCTCTGTCCAGCAGCCAGCAGGGGGTGCTGCCGGGCTCCGAGGCCCGGGCCCTGGGCGGCGCCGCGGGGAGAGACGCGAGTCCCGGGCTGGGCGCTGTCGTAGGTCGGGAGAGTGTGCAGCGTGACTGCGGCGAGCCCCGACGCCTGAGAAGCCGGGACCTGCTCTCCGGGGAGCGGGAAGGGGGCGGGGCGGAATTCTTTGGAGATGGGCCTGGGCGCTGGGGAATCCAGCGGGTCCGGAGGACCCAGCTCGGCCCTTGAGGCGCTCGGGCCTAGTCCAGGCCATACAGGTGTGCAGGGCGGGGACCAGCTGTAGGCCACATGCACCTTAATATGCAGTGAATAAAAAAGACCAGACGGACCCGGGGTTCATGACTCCATCTGAACAAACCGTCCCCGCCCCACATACCATTCGCCTCTCCTGGGTCCGTCCTGTCCCGTTGGTGGGAGCAGAGGCAGGGAGGATCATAAGGACTCTCCCCTCCAAGGCGAGGACTTGCCTGACCTGCTTAGGCAGCACCAGCCTCCCAGGTGCAAGTGGCTTCGCCCTCCCCTAGCTGGAGTTAGAGTGTGTGTCCATGCTCCAAGTGCTGGACACTGGGAGGTACCCACCGTGTCAGCAGAATGACGCGTGAATCTATTTGAGATAAGGTACCAAAGAGCTGCAGAGCATGGCTCCTTGATGCAGAGGCATTAGGAGGCGAGTTGTTTCCTTGCGATGGATGATGAAGGACTCCATTTTACAGAGGAAGAAAGAAAACCTCTTGCCAGCAAATCAGCCACCTTCCAACTCCAACCTAATTGACCAAAGTTAGGTTATTGATGAGGTTATTGATGGACTGGACACCAGTGAGCTGAGAACAGGCAGTAGTTAATCCCCAGTGTCCACAAAGAACCTGACGGCCACTGTCCCTCCATGTCCCCTCCCAGCCCAGGAGCCAGCCAGGCACCTGGGCACCGTTCACCGGGTTTCCCAGCAGGGCTGTGTAGGGGTGAGCACAGGGTGACCCCTCTCCTTCACGAGCCCTTAATTTCTTATTGTAACATGTGTCCTTCTCACAGGGAAAACTGAACCCAGGGTGAGCTTATTAAAAAATGTGTTTTTCTATTCCCCTCAAAAGAAATTGGCAGTAAATGTGTTTCTCTTTTTTACTCTCTGGAATTTTATCTGTATTTTGAAATTCCTGCCAAAACCCACAGTCTGAGGCGATGCATTATTTAAAAATCAATTGACTTTCAACTAGAAATGGAATTTAAACATTATAAAGCAGAAGCTACTCTTCAACTCTTTTCCTGGTTTCCCGGAGAAACCAGGCAAAGAGATGATGTGGCGGTTGGTCAGAATCTGAGGGAGACAAAGGGTGGGCTTCCTGGGGCCTGTGCTCCCTAGGGCCAGGTGGCTGGGTGACCTCAGGAGACACCCGACGGTGTCTCAATTCTGTCACTGCTGAAACAGGAGGGTGGGACCTATGGATTGTCCATATCCCTTCCAGCTTGGATCTGTCATTCCACAGGTAGGTGCTGAGAGCCTACAGGTCCCACTTGGCAGCCTTCTGAGTTATCTGCTTGGGGAAGGTTTCGTGATACATGGTTTGTATCCTGTCCTTGAGTAAAGGGTCTTCTCGTGAATCCCTCAAATCTTCTCGTAACCTCATCCTACTGTCAACGTACAGATCAGTATGAAAAAGGACACTGATTTATTTCTGTTTTATTTATTTTTATTTTTTTGGAAACGGGCTTTGATCTGTGGCCCAGGTTGGAGTGTAGTGGCATGATCATAGCTCACTGTAACCTCAAACTTCTGGCCTCAAGGGATCCCCCACCTCAGCCTCAAAAAACTCTGGGATTATAGGCATGAACCAGTGCACCAGGCCCTGATTTGTCTCTGAATCATGAAGTTTTGCCAGTTGTCTTGCAGATAGAATGCTTTAGCCTGTGTTTGTGTTGTAATCTGAAGCTAATGATTGTAACCTCTTTGGGACATCCTGGTACTCTCCGATGGAAAGGACAACTCCAATGTAAGGAGTGCCCTCCCCTCCCTGCTCCTAAACTTTCTCATAGAACTATTTCGACCCTGGAACAATCCTCACATTTGGCTTCCAGTAAACCTTTCTCAAATTATTTCTGCCTCAATAGCCTTAATTTTGGCTGACAGTATTTAGCAGTTTAGCTGCAGTACAGTTAAATTTTATACAGTGTGTGTGAGAAGGGAAAGTGTGGGGATTTCAAGTCAGCAGACTTGCAGTCTTGGAGTGGGGAGGCTTTTAAAATTTTGATCCCAAATCCAGATGTGTATATATATACATTTATATATATATATAAAATAAAATCAACCACACAAAAATCTTCTGAATGAAAAAAGACCCATAAAATAGTAATGACCAAAAAAAAAAAAAAGGAAAGTTATCCCAAATCAAGGGACTAATTTCTTCTTTAATAAACAAAGAGTGCCTCCAAATCAAACAGAAAAAGATCAACAGAGAAAGAGGTAAAAATATATATCTCTATATATACACTAATGGCCATTAAACATGTTGAAATATGCCCCATTTCATTAGAGGGTGCAAAGTTGAGCAATGAGCTTTCTCCCATAGCTGTATTGACCAGGTACCCTCATATATTGCAGATGAGGGTATGCATTGATTAAACCTACTGGCTGGCAATAATTATCGAATTAAAAACACTCATACCTTTTGACTTAGGAATTGTATTTCCAGGAATTTATCCAACACATCTTTTGGTAAGTGTTTGAGGCAGACTTGCAAAGCTAATCACACAGCATTGCAAGAGTGAAGGATGGGAAACCACCTGCTAATAGGGAACTGATTGAATAAATTACCACGTATCCACAAAAGGAAACGGCATCGCACACTTTCTGAAAGAGTTAGGCAGCTCTGTATTTGCCGATGCGTGTTTCTAATACATCTCGGTGAACACAGAAAATCAAGGTGCAGATGGGCAGAATCTCTGGTGTCTGTCTACTTTACACGGATGTCTCTGGAGAGACATGCAGGGAACCTGATCCAGGACTCATCTCTCGAGAGGAGACTGAGTGCCTCGTGGATGGCAATTAGAGGGGAACACATTGTATACCTTTACATTTTGTTCCACATCTGTGTATTACTTGTTAAAAATAAATAGGGCACTTAAAAACAGTAAACTCCTATGGGAGAACATTTGTGTGGTCAGAATGAAAGCGTGGTGGCTTTTGCACTAGAATTGGAGTGGATTTCCTTCTCTAAGTCAGCCTCTGATGAAGGAGTGGCTTGTGGTAAGGAAACCCGTCCTCAAACTCTGGCTGGGAACCGAGACTGCCCGTGCACAGCAGCAGAGGTTGCCCATGCCACGCTCACCACGGAGCCCTGCTCATGAGTACCATGGTAGAGGGAATTGCCTGCTCTGTGGAACTGGTTCCCATGCCTTTTAGAGGGATGTTGAACGTACACAGCAAATTCATGTCCTGTGTATCTACGACGCCATCTGGGCCTCACCGAGTTCGCCTGAGGAACCGAGCTCCCGGCCACCGGGGCCTGGCTTGCAGCACAGCTGCTCATATGGTTTGGCTCTGTCGCCACCCACATCTCATCTTGAATTGTAGTTCCCATAATTCCCAAGAGTTGTGGGAGGGAGCCGGTGGGAGATAATTGAATCATGAGGTGGTTTTCCCCATACTGTTCTCATGGTAGTGAATAAATCTCATGAGACCTGATAGTTTTATAGGGGGGAAACCCCTTTTGCTTGATTCTCATTCTCTTCTCTTGTCTGCCACCATGTGAGACGTGCCTTTCACCTTCTGCCATGATTGTTGTGAGTCCTCCCCAGCCACGTGGAACTATGAGTCCATTAAATCTCTCTCTCTCTCTTTTTTTTTTTTTTGTAAATTGTCCACTTTCGGGTACATCTTTATTAGCAGCATGAAAACGCACGAATACAGCCGCCTAAATTTATCCACATGCTTCAGGGCTCCTCTGAGTTCCCTGTACAGCCCCGGCAGGAGGTGTCATCCACAAAAAGTGGAGGTTGGTGCCTGCCCACTGAGACTGTAGGCTGGTAACACACTGTCCTGAAGAGAAAAATGTGGATGGAGGCCACTGGAGAGACATTAGAACCTGCACATTCCAAAGGCATGGCCTCCACTTCGGCCCACTTAGGTGATTCCCGCAATCTCCTGTCGATGGTCACCACCAGCCCTTGCACAATATCTCCGCTTGTGCCATGTACCCGGTACTTTCAGGAGACTTTCCTTCGTACGGTGGGAGATAACTTTGGCTGGAATTTGCATTTCTCCAAAGAAAGAACACATTCCAATATTCTAAAAGCCTCCAAGACACGCGGGAAGTACCAAGAGGATTGATTTCTTTGGAAGCGAGTGCAGTGGTTTATGAGATGTGCTTGCAAATATATGGAATGCCCCCTTTGGTCACCCCACCTCCCCACCGTGGCATCTGTGGTGACATGGAGGTGACTCGGAGGCAGTGTAACTTTGGGGCCTTTCTTTCTCTGGCCTTTCCACACCTCTGCACCTTCAGGGCCATTGCTTTAGGAAGCCACGGGTGGCAGAGAGCTCTCAGATGATCCTCCCGACAATCACAGAAGCTCTTTCACCAGGCGACAAGGATGGATGAGGTCACCAACACCACAGGCATTGTGTAACGCATTTCTACAAACTGCTTTGGAAAGCAGGCAGCATTTTCCCAAAGGAACAATGGAAGTAATGGATAGTATAAAGTGATCGGGGATCGCCTGTCACAC